CCCCCGAGGCGCCAAAGCGCGGGGCTCGCTGTCCGAGCAGCCGCCCGACTCCTCCTCGTCCTCAACTGCGTCTGCCTCTGCTTCCTCCGAGGGAAGCTCGGGGCCATGGGGGAGCACGTCCCGGGGGGCGCGGGGCCCGGAGAGAGCTGGGAGCTCCCCCCCACCGCTGCAGCCGCCGCCGCCCACCACATCTATATCTGCGTCCGCCTCGGACAGCGCGGCCGGTGAGCTCTCGGAGGACATGATCTCGCAGCAGCAGCTGCCCAGGGTCATGGTGCCGCCGCCGCCGCTCTCCGGCTCCGCTCGGGCCGCGGCTCCGGCTCCGCCGCGCTGCCTCTGGGGCGAGTGTGTTTTGCGCGCGGGCGGGGAGGGGGCGGGGGACTGAAGCAGACAGGGAGGGGTATCCCCCCAGCTCTGCAGCGCCCCCTGGTGGCCGACTCGCCCGCTCTCACCTCCGGCTGTGCACTTGACTGGCGGCTCTCTCCCGCTGCCCTGGGAGCCAGAGCTGGGGCCTGCACCCAGGGTCGGGGCAGAGGAACTGAGGCCTCCCCTTACCTTGGCGCTCCCCCGGCCCTCGGCCCCGGGGGAAGTCGGGGAATTAGTCTCCTCCCGCCTAGCGGCTGCCTAAGGCGGAAGAACCAAGAACCCGGGGCGGAGCTCCCTGGGCCGCGTGGGGCGGGAGGGGCGGGCAGAGCGCCTCAGCAGAGGGCCCGGCGGGAACAAACCGCCGCCGCGGCGGGAGCTCGGCTCTGGTGGCCGTGGGCTGGTCCCCTTCTTCCCGGCAGTTCCCGAAAACCCTCCGTTCAGTGAAGCCGCTGCCTTAGTCCACTCAGCTCCGGGATGTCCTGGCTCACGCAGACACCAGTCCGAGCCGGGAGAAGTGGTGACAGCCCCCACCCAAGGCGCCGCTTGGCCACCAAGGCCGAAGCGCAGTTGGAACGCGAAAGGGAGTCTGAGACGCCCAGACAAACGCCGCCGGAGAAGGGCCTGCCAGAGCCCGAGAGGCTTCCGGCCCGAGGTGGAGACTGACTTGAGAGATGGCGAGCAGGAAACTTGGCATTCTCAACCGCCGACCTCCTAGAGGTGAGAGAATTCGGCTGCGCCCTCTCTTCCTCTCCCAGGCTGGGATTCTGCACCCATACTCTTGCCGCCCTGCGGGACTCCAGATGCTAGAGTGTGCACAGGAAGACTCAGGCCCGGGAGCTAGCCGTTTGTCAATCCACTCCCGCCCCCGAACTCCTCTGTCGCGCTGCGGCCACATTCCCCGTGTGCGGACCGGTCAATCGCTCTAAGAATGCCTGTACGCTGACCTTTTCTGTCCTCGTATCCATTTGTCTCAGTCTCTGTGACTCAATCTTTCACTCTCTTGGTGAATCTGTCTCCGTTTCTTGTGCATCTGTCGAGGTTGAACTGCTGGTAGGACTGGGAGTCCCTCCCTCAATTTCCCCTACTTCCCCGTCCAATTGCATTGCGAGGTAGCTCCTGTCTTTCTGGCAGGACCTGTAGGACCTACTGAGAAGCAGCAGGACCCCCACCGAGGCCTCCCTCAGTGAGCCCTGACCGCAGCCCCAGGCAAAGGTTGCTGGTATCTCTCAGGATCCTGTGTACATGAGGCTGTTCGTGTGCCCTCTCTTTTCAACCTTCCCGCTCCCTCTAGGAACCCGTCAAGGAGTACCTCCAACTCAGACTGGGCCCATCTTAATCACTGGGGAATGTAAGGGAAGGTGGGCAATGGACGCCGGCGAGAATAGGGCGGAGGGCTCTGCGGCTGCCCCGACAGCGCCGCGCAGTGGTCGAAGCTCGAGCCTGCGAAGCCAAAGACCCAGCTGCTTTGCTGGTGTCACAGACCGTGTCAGAAGGTTGCTTCCCGTTTCTAGCCTCAGTTTCTTGGTCTGCATAGTAACTAAGGGCAAATAACCTTGGAATCAGGGTTGCCGGGGTTCAAATCCTGGCTTCACTATTTATTAGCTCTCTCTGGTGCCACAGTGCCTAAGGCATTTGACTGCTAACCAGAAGGTTGTCAGTTGGAACCTAGCAGCCGCTCCGGGGAGAGAAGATGAGGCAATCTATTTGTGTAAAGATTTACCGCCTTGGAAGTCCAATGGGGGCTGCCGTAAGTCGGAATCAACTCAATGGCAGTGGGTTTGGTTTGGTTTTGGCGTCACCTTGGACAAATTTCTTAACCTCTCTTTTCCTGTTTCCTTCTCTGTAAAAAAAAAAAAAAAAGAGATTAAAAACACCTACCTGGTGGGTAATATGTAAAACTAGACATATTTCTATGGGATACTTCTGAAGAGGGAGCACTTTGGGGACTCTTGGGACTCTGTTCTCTCAGAAAGAGGTTAGAGATAGTGAAGATCCCCAAGGGATCTCTAGCCCTTGTCCAGACCACCGCCACACACACACACACACACACACACACACTCACAAACACACCCTGCATTAGCCATACTGTGCTGAAGTAGGTCCCTTGTAGAGAAGTGCTAAAAGCAGGGGTGGGAGGGAATTTGCAGCCCGTGGAGCTGTGTCTCAGCAGGGTTATGTGCGGATGAGCGAGGTCTCCCTTTCATCTAACAACAGCCTCCAATCTGTGGAGTAATCTAGTCTAAATCCAATTCTGCCATTCCCCGGATGGGGCAACAGAGGCCCTGAGAGGGGGGAAAGACTCACTGGGGCTTTTACAAGATAGAGTAGGGCCAGGTCTCAGGACCCCCATAGTGCAATTCTCCACCCACCCAAGCTATCAGGCTAAAAGAGCAGAGGAGGGTGGGAGGCAGGCCCTCTGGGCGTCCCTGTGGGACCGCTGATGAAGAGGACCTACCCAGTGTGCTGGATCTGCATAAGTAAGCCAACCATGAGACAAAGAGAAAAGTTCCAGTCCTCAAACTGTGGACAAGGACTAATGGCCCTGGAATTGGAATTTCCTAAGTGATAGAGCCCTCCTGGAGGAGGTAAAAAAAGGCCCACGGAGAGCAGTTTCCTGCAAGAATCCAGATAAACTCACATACCTAGGGTTCCTAGATTTTAGCAGATTTGTTTTTTTCTGGCAGCCCTACACATACACTAAGCTTTCTCTTTCCTACATGGAGATCTCTTTCACACTGAAAGGACTCCCCCACCTACCTACTCACAGACACCCCACACTCTCAGTCACACACTAGCTCTAAGGCAGCGCAGCTCTGCTAGTGTCTGAATAAATGAAGAGAAAGGCATTGATATCATCCTACAAATCTCCCCTTCTAAATATCTTCATTTCTAAGAAGGCAAGTGTGAACCAGTAGCTTCCTTCCTTACCAGGGCTTTCCTGATTGCCCCCCAGGCTCAAGCCCTTGCCTAGTTTCAGGGTAAGACTGGTTGAGGCACCCACCCTCTGGGTCTCATGCTCCGGCCAGACGATCTGTGGAGCAGCTGCAGCCTCCAGCCTCAGCCTCTGCCTGGCCCTGCTGCTGCTCGCTTGAGACCTGGCTTGGGGAAAAGGAGTACAGGACTCACAGCTGGTAATTCCTCCTCCCTCCCAAGGCTTTGGATCAATTTGTTTCAAACAATGCCGGTGGTTGGTGCAGTGGGGGCTGGGAGAAAGACGACCCCTGCTTTCGGGATTCTTCTTCGCTTTTCCTTTGATTGTTGCCGTTCCTGTCGTCAGGCTCAGCCTGTTGTTGACGTTTTCGGATCGCAACTGTAATCCGCGCTGTCTGTCGCCCCCTCCGCGAAAATCTAGCCACTTTCCCGGAAGCCTGGGCCCAGCATCCCCGTCTACAGCCTTCACGGACCGTGAGGCTCTGCGGGTTTTGGTCACAATTGTCATTGGTCGTGCCGGCCCACCTCCCTTGCCCACCTCACTCTCTCCAGCAGCCCAGAAACCATTGGGAGGAAGCATTTGGGGAGGCTCCTTAGGCTTGCCACTCCAAAATATTCGGACTCCCGGAGAGGAGTTGAGTGTTTATCGCGGAGTATGTGTTGCTATCGGTAGTGTTAAGGCCTTCTCTCCCTCTTTTCTTAGGGCTCCTGTAGTCTTGCTGTTCTCAGCAGCTAGGGAGAATTGGAGCCCTCGGGCAATTATGAGGATATTATTAAGCCGGTCGCAATACCGGGGAAGAGCTGCGCAGAGCTAGCGGTGGAGTCTGAGCAGCGCGGGACGATCGAACGGGGCCTTCCTTGTGTTGGATTGTCGAGGGCCGGGGCTCGCCCCTCGGCGCAGTCCCGCTGCGTAGCGCAGGCTCTGCTGGGCAGGCGGGGAGAGAAGAGGGGAGAGGCGGGGACACCACGCTAGCACACTCTTCTATAATAGCGTTCACAAAACTAGCCAGCCTCAGGGAAAACGACGAGTCCGGCGTTGACCTCTCCTGCCCGCGCCCGGGAGCCGCAGCTCCGGAGCGAGACAGTTATTTGTGCCTAGCCCGGCCGCAGCAGCCCATCCGTTTCCCCACCCCTTCCTCCACCCTGCTTTTCGGCCTCCTCAGGAGTCACCTACTCCCAAGACCAGGGTGGGAGGCGGAAGGCTCCGATCGTGTGTGGCGACGGGGCCCCTAGCACACAGGAGCGGGACTGTGGGTTAGAATCCTGGGAGCAGCAGGCCCCTCTGCCTGCAGGGAAATGGCAGGGCTCCAGCGCGTGCGCCTTCACCCCCGCTGCACCTCTGCCCCAGCCCGAGGAGCCGGTACAGGGGTCTGCGCCTCTGTGGTATCCCCTACACCTCGCCCGGGGTAAAGTCTGAGGGTGAGAATTCCCTCTCCCTCTACTTCCATTACGCCTGGCTGCGGTCTCACCCGCCCCCGGGACTACGTGTGTGTGGGGGCGGGGGGGGGGTCCTGCTTACGCTGCAATCACCACACACGCGTGTCCCAGAGGCTCGAGCACTGCGCGGCTGTAGAGATCAGAGGCAGCCGCGGAGCCTGATGAGTCTCGTTCGTGGGAAGAGGGTGCAGGCCCAGGAGGGTGGAGATCGCTCCCAACTGATTCCCAGATGTTAGGAAAATATGAAAACCTGCTGATGGATCTCTGCTTCCCAGTGCCCCCAAGCTGACCCCGCTGCTCCCAAATCCCCCACCCTGGGCCGCCGCTTCGCAAAGCCAGAGTTCGCTGCGCCCGCTGAAGCGCAGGCTCACATGCCTTGCAGCCCGTGAGCGGCCAGAGCGGAAGAGAGGGAACACACTTGTAGGTGTGTCTGAGCTTGAACCTGTGTCTCATTGTGAGGCCCCGAGTGTCTGCCTGAGCCCGGTGCGCTCTTAGAGGTTCCTGAATCCCTAGGTTTCTTTGTCCGCTTTTGTCCGTGC